ACACGTGGTCGAATAATGGTTAGAACTGACGCTTTCTGAACAATGATGGCCGATTTGTCAGAAAGGTGACTTTTTTGGTGTTATCAGCCTGGGAAAGCCATCCCATCGGGCGGCACCGTTGAAACAAATGCTTGAATACCATACCACGGTGTCACCCAAGCCTTGTGGCTGAAATATTTGGGGGCTGTCAATTGTTGTGTTCGTTATCGTGACACAAGTTTTGAGCGTGCCTAACTTATTCCGACTGTTGGGCACGCCGGATAATGCTCTCTCTCCACCAGAAACAGTGACTAATGTCAGTTCAGTATAGTTGCAGTATAAACCGCAGGTGGGATCTGTTTTTATCTGCAATGGGGATTAGGTAGCCGCCCTAGTAGGCCTACCCGAATAGGAGCGGACAGATCATCTATCCTTTTACAGGTCTTGTCTTAATCTTGTTGCATATCTAGCCACTCTCGTCATCAGATAAGGCAAGTGGAGCATCCGGTTTATTTTCTGACGACATTGCAGTTCAAGAAATAATTTTTCGTTATTAAGATTTCCTATTGATAATGCCATAATTAACATCATACGTTTGCTTAATGAAAGTTAAATAATGAATTTATTTATCTATGAAATTCGACCAGCCTTAAACTCTGTAATGTAGAAATTTGGCAAATGAATTAATTCGCAATCATGAAATGCAGATGAAAGGCACAACCGTTTTGTATGACAAATTATTTCTTTTTGAATATCGAATCCTGAGATTATAAACTTTCGCTGAATGACCAGGCAAGAATCAGATAAAGGATGGAAGAAAAAGGAATGAGATTGTGAAACAGGTACATCTTCAATATATTTGTTATTCTTGTCTATAATGTTAAACTGTATATTTTGAAGAGAGAAATGTTTGATACTACTAATATTTTTTCTCTCTCTGGCACCACTTGGAATATTTCTTCACGGACCACTGGAAAATGATCAAAATTTTATTTGAATCCATTGTCAATCGAAAAACAACCCCAAGTTGATTTCAAAGAATTAAAATCATAATTACGCATACTAAAGGAACTGGACAAGAATAGTTTACATTAGTAAAATGAATATCCATCGTTTGCAAATGGAATAAAGTGTCATAGAAAGATATGTTTCAAATAGATATCAGGTGGATAAAACAGGAAGCTTATTAAGCAATAGTTTACAGCCTGTAATGATTATCCCTTTATTATCATTATCCCTTGTCAAGGTTAGGAATGAGTGAAACAGCGTTTTTTAATTTCTTATTCATCATCTCGTTTATGTTCTGTGTCGCCTCAGGATGTAGGTGATCATAGCTCTCCAAAATTTCCTATCCTTTGTCGTTCACAAACGCAGGTGTCCCTCAAGGCTCCATCCTAGGGCCCACTCTATTCCTTATCTACATAAATGACCTTCCTGACGCCATAACTTCCCAAGTTGGCATCTACGCGGATGAAACCACAATTTATTCCTGCCTCAAAAACAAATCTAGTCTCGCTGACAAAACTCACCTTGCCGTGCGTCTCGAAAAGGACCTCCAATCGATTGTGAACTGGGGCATGAATTGGCTGGTCAACTTCAACGATTCGAAGAAAACTGCTCTCTATTAATCACCACAGAGAGCCTTCCTTCCCTCCATTAGAATGTCTGACGCTCAACTTCTCGAGAGCAACTCTCTGCGGCTTCTCGGTCTCATGTTGACTGCTGACCTGAGATGGAATAAATACATCGAGTCAATTGCCTCGTCCACTGCAAGGAAAGTTGGCTCCCTGAGCCGCGCTAGGAAGTTTTTCTCCCCTGAGTCGATCCACAATTCGCCCTTGCATGGAGTATTGCTGCCATATATGGTCTGGCGCCCCTTCTGTTTGCCTTGGTGTTCTTGATAGGCTCCAGAGGCGGATATGCAATATGGTTGGCCCTGCCCTGGCGTCTCGTCTACAGTCACTTTCTCACAGACGCGCCGTCGCCCCCCTCTGTCTGTTCTACAAATACTTTCATGGAAATTGCTCCGAGGAGCTGCATTCGCTGGTTCCCAGACGTCATGAGTTCCAGCGCCCTACGAGGCTGGCATCCCGCTCTCACCCCTTCACTGTCGAAACTCCTAAATATAGCCGTCTCTTCTACTCTAATAGCTTCATGTCTCGCACCTCTCGCCTGTAGAACTCCCTTCCCTTCTCCTGTTTCCCTGTGAGCTATAATCTCCAGCTATTCAAGTGTAATGTCAATCGACATCTCCAGTTGCCTTAATCTATCTACTACCCTCATCCTTTCTTCTATCACTCCTATCTGATCTTGCTATAAATTTTCTTTAACCCCTTGCGTCCTAGTGGCTTCCCGCCTTGCTTGGGGTGAAACGCTTAAAAAAAATGTATTTTCGTTATTTCTGCTAAACCCTGTTCTGCCATGCATTTACTTAAGTATGTTATGCGTTGTTTATCTCTGTCACTCTGGCTTTCAATCTGAGTATCATATTTCTCAAGCCATATTTCCTCATTATATCCTCATAAATTTCAGCTGATGTTATGTATAACTTTACTTTTTGTTTACATTTTCTCTAAATCCTCATCGTTGATCACATGTTCGGTTCGTGGTATCCGCAGAATCCTTCTGTAGCATCCAATTTCAGCTGCCTCAAGTCTCTTCCTCACATTTGAGGAGATTGTCCCGCATTCACTATCTTATCAAAGGACAGGTATCGGGTATCTCTCATCGATTTTTGTATCGAAAAGCTTTTTATTACTTAATAATCTTGCAAAGACAATGTATGAAAAAGTATTTTCAAAAAGATGCATAATACAAGTGATTATATAATATAGAATTGTGTGTTCTAGCTGTAAGGTTTTTAAATCGTGCCATCTACAAAATGTAGCGCGTCTAAACCTATTCCGTGAAAAAAAAATGTTACAGTATCGACCGGTCCAGTAATTTGTGACTGTAAAATATGGGCGGTTGAGTTGAAAAAAATAATTAACCTCCTTCAAGTTTATTTTTATCATTTCACCTCATGCAAGGCGATAATGCCTCTAAGATGCAAAGATTTGCTGTTTGATATAAACTGCAAAGACATTAACCAGGGAAAGAGAAAATAAGAGAGCAAGCCTTTGGATGACAGAAGGCGACGATTTATGTTGCATTTAATCTTTTCAAAATCGTACTGGAAAGGAAAGTAAGAAGGCAGAGGTGAGAGGTGCACAGTTTTATCTACCTATTTTAACAGTGAAACAATAAGACACTTTTGATAATATAGTACCACATTTTAATCTGTACGGTTAGGGTACCAATGATGATAGCTCATTAGAATAGTTGCCATGAAGTATAGAATTTACAGTGAGAAGCCCCCTTATAGGAGTGGAAAAGTGAGAGAAAGAAAAGTCGAGATGATTGTCCAGGAGGTACTGAATAACCTAATTTTTCAAAAGTCTAGTGTTAAACATTTATGAACGTTGTCAAGCCAGAAGATATATATATATGCATTGGTACTGTGTTGTACCAATGCATATATGATAACAATACGTCACTCGGGTTTATCATTTGACTTGACTCCTATAAAGATAAAGTAACTGAATAGGAACCATATACTTCTGGATCGCTATTTTCAGGGAGCCAGCTAATTTCCAGGAACATCAGGGATGGATCGTTGATATGAATTCCTCTTAAGATCTTGGTAATACTTCAGTCTCAATAGCGATATGAATCTATGAGTCACATCGAGAATGCAACCAAATATTTGGAAAGAACGTAATAGCGAAAGTTACTATAAGGGTCAAAATAAAAAAAAAGAAAAATTTCCAAAGTACGTTGTGTTCAGCTTTTAGCCTTAAGCCACCTAAATTATATTGTATACTAGCAGTAGAGCCCAGCGTTGCCCGGGGATATAACATTAAGAGATAGATCAAGTATCGACCATCATAAAGACTGGAAAATGAAATTGACAAAGATTATTGTTTAAGGTTGACGGATACGCATGTCTTAATTAGTATTTTTTTTGTTTCGTTTTTTTTTTTTTTTTTTTTTTTTACGAATTGGTCAAACTCAAACAAAAACATTGTTTTCAATCGTTATGAGTCTACCGATAGAATAGAATTTTATTATAAACAATTGTCTTGTAAATGGAATTTTTAAAGCATTCTGAATGTAAAAATAAAGAAAAAAGTGTGCAAGACAATAAGAAACACTACATGCCAAAAAAAAGTGAAGTTTTGTTGAAATCGGTTGATAAATGTAGGAAATCCGATCCCATATATAAACAAACACAAACAACCTGGGTTTTATAATAAGTATAACTCGATATGAGTTTCATTCTTTCATTCTGGCGACAGAATCGTGTTTTATTGTGTTTTCAAATTGATTTCATTGCAAAAACAATTGTGTTTTTCCAATTTTTGGCGCTGTCAGAACCACCGCAAGGTAATTTTACGCAGTCCTGTGAAGGTTTGTTGAAATCGGTTGAAAAATGTAGGAAATGCGAAATATATAAACGTACAGACACACACACACACACACAAAATCTGCATTTTATAATAAGTAAGATCATGTTTAAATATCGTGTGATTATTGAAAAATGACCGCGTTATCGTGATTATAAAGGAAAGAATCTGGGCTTATGGATAGGTAGACGGTAAGTAAAAGATTCCTTCCAGTTTTTGATTTATTAGAAAGAAAAGGTATAGAATAAATTTGACATACCGTTAGATCACAAAGTCAGTCCCATCGGCAGAGAGAAACTTTTGTCAACGAGCCTCTAGCTGTGCTATGTCCTGTTGGTAAAAAAATCAGGTGTCTTCAAGGCAAAAACGATCTAAGATATAAAACATGTCTGACTAAAGACGCAGTTCATTGTACGTTGTGACAATAACCACAAAGACATGGAATTTTGTCCGGGTATATTGTAGAAATTAGTTATATTCGTTACTGTATTTTCATTTTCTTCATAATCTGTTTCGATTTCAAAATGCAGTATTATTCTTTTCGTTGTCGTTTTACTGTCTAATGCCCCTCTCTATATGATACTTTTTTTTACTTTCTTTGTTTTTTCATCTTTTGTCCTTCCTTCATTTCTTTCTTTCTTTCTTTCTTTCTTTCTTTCTTTCTGTTCTTATATTTTCTTTTTCTTTTTTCTTTCTTTCGGTTGTTATCTTTTCTTCCTTTCTTTCTTCATCTTTTCATTCTTTCTTTCTTTCGTTCTTTCTTTCTATTCTTATACTTTCTTTTTCCTTCCTTTCTTTTTCTTTCTTTTTTCTTTCTTTCTTTCGGTTGCTATCTTTTGTTCCTTTCTTTCTTTATCTTTTTCTTTCTTTCTTTCTTTCTTTCTTTCTTTCTTTCTGTTTTTACATTTTCTTTTTCTTTCTGTTTTTTTCTTTCTTTTTTCTTTCTTTCTTTCGGTTGTTATCTTTTCTTCATTTCTTTCTTTATCTGTTTCTTTCTTTCTTTTCTTTATCTTTTTATTTCATTTTCTTTCTTTCTTTCTTTCTGTTCTTATATTTTCTTTTTCTTTCTTTCGGTTGTTATCTTTTCTCCCTTTCTTTCTTTATCTTTTTCTTTCTTTTTTTTTCTTTATTTCTTTCTGTTCTTATATTTTCTTTTTCTTTCTTTCTTCTTTCTTTCTTTCGGTTGCTATCTTTTCTTTCTTTCTTTCTTTCTTTCTTTCTTTCTTTCATTAGTTTCTTTTTCTGTTACTATATTTTTTCTTTCTTTCTATATGTATTTTCTTTCTTTTCCTTTCTTTTTCTTTCGTTTTTCTGTTCTCATAATTATTTCTTTCTTAACTTTCTTTCTTTCTTTTTTCTTTCTTTCTTTCTTTCTTTCTTTCTTATGTTTCATCCTTTTCGTAAAAGAAACATTGTTTTCTTTTTTGTTGTCCTATTTCTATTTTTCTTGCTTTATTGTTTTTGATTTTTATTTGTTTTACTTTACTTCGTTGTTTCTTTATTATTTCTCTTTCTTTTTTCTATCTTTCTTTCTTTATTTCTTTCTTTTTTATGATTGTCCTTTTCTTAAAATAAACCTATATTATTTTTTTTCTCATTTCCTCTTTTATCGCCTTATTTCTTTCTTTCTCTCCTCCTTTCTTTCATTCATACGTTTATTCCTTCATTTAAAAAAAAATGTCATTTAAGATCTTCGACTAATTTTATTCTTCTTTCTTATCTATTTTTTTTCTTTCCTTCCTTTTTTTGTCTGTGTCTGCCTGTCAGTCTTTCTTTCTCTCAGTTTACATTCCTTCTTTCAAAGAAATGTTTCTTGTTTGATCTTCGACTAAATTTATTCCATGTCTATTTTTATCACTTTACACCTTCTCACTTTTTCTCTATCTTTCTTTCTTTCTTTCTTTTTTTTTTTCTTTCTTTCTTTCTTTCCATATTGTGACTTTCTCTTTTTCTGTTTGACTAAATACTTTTTTGGTTTTCATTGTTTGTTTCCATTTTCTTTCTTTTTCTTTCTATCTTGCTTCATCTTTGATTAATTTATATCATCTTTCTTTCTTTCTTTCTTTCTTTCTTTCATTCTGTCTGTCTGTCTGTCTGTGTTACTTGGTGTTCTTTCTGTCTATTTTCTTTCTTTGGAAAAACATTTGTTCCTGTTTGTTCTTGAATTTATTTGATACATTCATGTGAGATTTTAAGACTATATTTCCTTTCATTTTTTTCTCATTCTATATTTTTCTTTCTGTCCATTATTTTCATTAACATTTCTTTTTAATTGATCATCGACTAATTTTATTCTTCATCCATGTTATTTAAACATCTCTTTTCTTTTTTTTCTTATTTTTCTAACTTTCTCATTTTCATTTTGATATACTAACATTCATATCGATATAAGTAACTGCACATCGATTCTTTTAAATGTTGTACTTATTCGTACTTATAATGTTTTACCCTTAACTGGAGAGAATGTTTCATTTCTCTTTATTTTAGTAGATTTTTTCACACGAATACTTGCAGCGAAACTGAATTTAAGAAAAGAAAAATAAATGTAGTAAAAAGATAACAATGTGAGAAAAAGATTCAAAAAACAAAGATGCATCGTCATCTTTGCAGTCAAATCACGTTGTCATCCATTTGCAAGCCAATATTCACCGCCAGGTGGAGCCAGCGCATGCAGAGAACTATTGACGCACCCAACATGGCGAGCACGGAATTCTTAATTCAAAGAAACTCACCTAAATTGATTCAAACTCGGATAGAAGACTCCATGCCAGATTTTATTCAAAACGAATGCCGGACAATAACGAATAAATTTATACCTACATTTCTGTAGACAGGAGCGCCCACGCGCACACACACACACACACACACACACACACACACACACACACACACACACACATATATATATATATATATATATATATATATATATATATATATTATTTTGTATAAAGCCCAACACTTTTAAGAAAACTTTTTGGAATAAGTGCGTTTAAACACAAATCATCTATATATATATATATCTATATATATATATATATATATATATATATATATATATATATATATATGTGTGTGTGTGTGTGTATGTGTGTGTGTGTGTGTGTGTGTGTGTAATTATATTTATGTCTGCACATTGTTATAACAGTGAAAGGCATGCACACACAGCCATCTATTTATCGATATGCATGTGCGTTCGTGCGTGTATTTGTGTGTATTTGTGTATATTTATGCATAAGCAATGTTGTTTCTCTACCGTTTTTCCCTATAGGTCAATATATATATATATATATATATATATATATATATATATATATAGAGAGAGAGAGAGAGAGAGAGAGAGAGAGGAGAGAGATAGATAGATAGATAGATAGAATAGAGAGATAGTTAGATAGATAATTTTGCTGTTTCATTACCGCCTTTCCTATAAGTCAATATATATATATATATATATATATATATATATATAAATATACATATATACAAAAACTTGACTATATATATATATATATATATGTGTGTATGTGTGTATATATTTGTGTGTGTGTGCGTGTGTGTGTGTGTGAGTGAGTGTGCGTGCGTCATTGTCCAACTTTTTTCGGCTACTCAATGCTGGCTGAGTCTGTAAAAGCGCTTCCACTCAAACAACGGTCTCTCCAGTCAATGGGGAGACAGGTTCGAATCTTGCCTGAGTGCGCGTATAATTATTTCATAACATTCCTCGAATATTCTTGCCCGTACGCTAAAATATGCTATTTAACAAATAAACCAAGCGTTTAGTCAAATACGGGTATCCATTCGAAATAATGATTTTAACGGATTAATGACTAGAAAAGCATGACCTTTTTAGAAATCTCTCTCTCTCTCTCTCTCTCTCTCTCTCTATATATATATATATATATATATATATATATATATATATATATATATATATATATATATATATATATATATATATATATATATATGATATAACGATATATATGTTTGCCCAATTCTATATATCTACAGATAGTATTTGGAAAAATAGTATGATATATTAGAAAAAGTTCTTCTGACACACTTCATCTGTTAGGATTTCATCGGACTCGTCTACACATGCGAACAAAACGAGAGAGAGTCTGGTAGTATCAAAATATTTGAAATATTTTTTTTTGAAGAATACTTTTCTAGTCTCGCCAAAGTTAACATTATAGTTTTTTGTTTTTCTTTTTTCCCTTCAATAACTTTGTCCATTATTATCCCACATTGTGGTAACAAAATATCTACCAAGAAAAAAATAATTATTTCAATAAATAATGTAGCAACCGTTGTCGTTTCGTGCACATGCACAAGGCAACATCAGCAAATCAGTCCGATGTTTTCGAGTTTATATATATATATATATATATATATATATATATATATATATATATATATATATATATAGATGTTACCGTAACTATGTTTTACAATATTAAGTACGATTGGTCGGGTAAACAAACTATTATAATTGATTTTTTTTTTTATTATGTTCTCAATAAATGTGCTAATAAATATAGTATTTAACTTATATTAAATCCCTAAACTATTTGTTAAAAAAAGTTAAATATTTAAATTGATAGCAAGCATCATATTAATTTCTTTCCTTTTTTTTGACATCTAAATTACTATCAAACATTAAATTCTATTCTTTACATAAATTACTAAAACCCAATTACAGCCTCTTTCTCTTTATTTCCCACTTCTTTCGTTTTTCTTTTCTCCCTTCTACCCTCCCATTTCAATATATCACTTCCGTTAAGTTAACCGTCTAAATAGGTCAAGGTCTGGTCACTCCTCCTCCCCCAATACTAAGTATGCTTGAGAGAGATATGAAATTAATCCCTCCCTATACTCTACAATGTCTCTTTAACTACTCCTTTTACACACTCTGTTAAATTACAAAAGCTTACACTACCCATCAATTTTAATTTCATTTTTCGTTTCATTTCATTTTTGGAAGTGCTATCTGATGATCCGGCGTCCTTTAAAAGGGCTCTGGTGAATTAAATTATTATAATGGTACCTTCAAGTGGTCTGTTTTTCTTTTTTTATATATATATATATATATATATATATATATATATATATATATATATATAGTGGACTAGTCGTATCCGACGTATGGGGGGGTCAAGGAGCTCCAACCACACTTTTTGAAGTGTCGACTACAGGTACCTAGTGCACTACGTGCAACAAGGTCCCCAAACCACCCTCCGCAGGTTATGAATTCCGAGTTGTCCTTCTCCTAGACCAGTTGTCATCCAAGGATATAGAACCCAATCTGTCCTGCTGTTTATCCATACGTGCTCATACCCTTGGGAAAGGTATTAATCTTCTCCAATATATATATATATATATATATATATATATATATATATATATATATATATATATATAGTATGTATATAGTATGACAATTTACCAATATACATATGTGTATATATATATATATATATATATATATATATATATATATATATATGTATATCAAATTTAGGACGAAAAGAACTCAGAATATTCCATATGTAATAACGAAAAATGAAGATACTATAACAAAAAATTTATATGAAGGCACAAATATTTCATATGAATGTCTTATAGCATAATTGTTATGAAAGCAAAAACTATTTAGACATCGGACAATTATATTTTTAAATTTCTAAATACGTACTCATGCGCACGCATTCACACAACGTGCATACATATAGACTCACAGATATATTATAATAATATCTATTTATTGTATCCTATATTTATGTTTTAAAGTGCTTGAATATCAGTGATACAGCGTTTGTAAATATAAAAGTGAACATTTATTTCACATCCAGCGGCAACAGTCTATTTCATGTTTAAACTTTATCGGCAGGCCATGTTCTTTGTGTTTTTGGCTATTTAAGAAGAAGTAGCTGAGGTTTCTGGGATACATAATGAAGAAGTATGGCCTGGAGAATCAGATCCTCACGAGTCGAATCGAGGGAAAAAGAGACAAGAGAAAAACGGGTGACATACCTGACGGGCTTCATACGTCGAATCGACGGGAGTTGAGTATTAAAAAAACATGTTAAAATCGCTACACCCTTACAATAATGTTTCAACACTACAACCATGTCTCCTCGGGCGATACTAAACTTCTGGAGAGAGAAGGATTAAAAAAAATGTGTAAAAAATTCTTACGACCACTTTGACATTACAAGGGGATCACTAGACTT